CAGGTTGCTGTAGTTCGATCCCCACAACACTCCAGCCAGCCAAACCTGCCCTGAAGGCATTCGGAACAACAACAACAAAAAAAATCCGTATTTCCATTTTATTGAAATAATAAAATTAAATTAAAAGTCTGGTAAAAGCCTGAAAAAAAAGAGCCAAGGACAAAAATGACATGATCATCTCAATAGATGCAGAAAAAGCTTTTGACAAATTCCAACATTCATTCATGATAAAAACCCTACAGAAAATTGGAATGGATTCAATTTGATAAAAGCCATCAATGAGAAACCAACAGCCAACATCATACTAAATGGGCAAAAATTGAAAGCCTTCACTATATTTATTTTTTTTAGTTATTTATTTATTTTATATTTTAGTACAGAGTCTACAGGGTCTCACTATGTAGATTGGACTCATAGTGATCCACCTGTGTTCAGCCTCCCAAGAGCTGGGATTACAGGCTTGTGCCACTACATCCAGTCTCAGTCTCATCTCAGCATGCCCTGGGGGTGGGGCCAGCACGAGGCCTGGGATCAAACCCTCAGCCCCTGTGTCTGCCTAAGCAGGTACTTTAATCCACTGAGCTATTTGTCCGGCTCTAAAGTCTTCACTTTAAAACCAGGAACAAAGGCTGGAGAGATAGCTCAGTGGCTTAAGCACCTACCTGGCTAGCACAAGGTCCTAAGTTTGACCCCTGGTACAAAAAATAAAATAAAATCAGGAACAAGACAAGAATGTCCACTGTCTCCACTCCTATTCAATATAGTTCTGGAAACATTAGCCAGAGCAGTTAGATAAGAGAGAGAAATGAAAAGAATAAGGATTAGAAAAGAAATGAAATTATCATTTTTTGCAGAGGCCATGATACTCTACATAGAGGACCCCAAAAACTCCACCAAGAATCTTATAGATATAATCACCAAAGTCAGTGACATAGCTAGATCCAAAGTGAACACCCAAAAATCAGTACCATTTTTGTACACAATTAACTCACTGAGAGAAAAATTAAGAAAACCATGCCTTTCACAGTAACAACCAAAAATGAAATACATAGGAATCAATCTCACAAAGAAAGTAAAATATTTATACAGTGAAAATCATGGTACTCTGAGAAAAGAGATTGAAAACGATTTGAGAAAACTGGAAAATAGTCCATTCTCCTGAATAGGAAGAACCAACATTATGAAAATGGGCATACCTCCAAAATTGTTATACAGATTCAATACAATTCTGATTAAAATACCATTAGTATACCTCACAGAGCTAGAGATAACTTTCCTCAAATTCATTTTGAAACAGAAGAGACCCAAAATATCAAAAGCAATCCTAGTAAACAAACAAAAGGCAGGGGCTATCACAATCCCTGACCTGAAATTATACTATAAAGCTACTGTCATAAAATCAGCATGGTATTGGCATAGAGACAGACCTGAGGATCAGTGGAACAGATTAGAAGATGCAGACACAACTGCAAACACACTCAGACACCTTATCTTTGTTTGATAAAGGGGCCAAACATATTCACTAGAAGAATGATAGCCTCCTTAATAAATGGTGCTGGAAAAACTGACTTTCCACATGCTGAAGGCTAAGACTCATGTCTATCACCATTCACTAAACTACAGTCAAAATGGATCAAAGATTTCTTTTTTTTTTTTTTTTTTTAGCAGAACCGGGGTTGAACTCAGGCCCTTGCTCTTGACAGGGAAGCGCTTATTCCACTGAGCCATCTCCCTGGCCCCAGATTAAATATTAAAATAGAAACATTAAGTCTTCTGAAGAAAAATATAGGTAGAAATCTTAAAGCCAAAGGACTAGGTAGAGAGTTCATAAACAAAAACACACTGCATGGGAAATACTTCAAAGAATTGACAGCTGGGATCTCATCTTTTTGAAAAGTTTCTGAAATTCAAAGGAAATCTCCAGCAGAGTAAAAAGAAAACCTACAAACTGGGAAAAAATTAGAGCCAACTGTCCCTCTGACAAAGGACTTTTATATAGAACATATAAAAATTTAAAAAATCAGGCCCCCGGATTCAAAGACCCAATCAAAAAATAGGCAGCTGAGATGAATATACAGTTTGCAGATAAAGAAATACAAATAGCAAGTAAATATATAAAAAAATGTTCAACATTATTGATCATTCAAGAAATGCAAATTAAAACAGCACTGAGATTCCATCTCACCCCTGAAAGAAAGGATAACATCAAGAAATCAGCCAATAACAAATGCTAGAGGGGCTGTAGGGGGAAGGAACTCTTCTTCCCTGTTTGTGGGAGTGCAGACTGGTACAACCACTATGGAAATCAGTGTGGACATTCCTTAAACTAGGATTGGAGATTCCATTCAAGCCAGCTATTCCCCTCCTAGGTGTTTTTCCAGAAGAACTGAAAACATTGCACCATAGCAATATATGTGCACCCATCTTTATGACAGCTCAGTTTATCATAGTTAAATCCTGGAAACAACCTAGATGCCCATCAGCTGAGGAATGGATAAAGAATATGTGATATTTTTTACACAGTGGAGTATTACTCAGCTATAAGGATAATTTTGCGGCTTTTGTTGGTAAATGGATGCAACTAGAGAAAACTCTTAAGTGAAATAAATCAGACCCACATGTGCAAACATCATATTGTCTCCTTAGTGTGAGAACCTGAAAGAGGAAATGGAATCCGAAGGGCACAGTAGATATTGAGAAAAGGAAATGAACTTATTCAAAAGGAAAGAGTTTCTGAATTGAGGAGAAGGACAGGAGAGGGAGTGGGGAAAAAAGATCTATCTATGTATGTAGACAAGATGGTTTATACAACTGTACTATGGATTTCTGCTGGTCTGTGGAAAGGAACAGATAATGCTTAATTTATTTTATCTGGTTTTTCTCATTTGTTTCTCTTTTTTCTCTTAATTTCTTACATATTTCTTTTTTTTTTCTTTTAATTTTGCATGCATATATCTGGTAATATGAATAAGCAGTTGAAAGCACTGCATTTCAACAAATACTATGAAATTCGCATTAATTTGTTAAGTTAAATTCTGTAACACTTATACTTTTTCTGTTTGAATACTATTTTGTACTCTGTTTAAAAAATAAAAAGCATTCAAAACCAGTTATCTGCCATTTTTTCTATTTTTTCACCTCCATTCTCCCTTGTGTACATTCCAGATAGGTTTTCATTGCTCACTGTTTCCACTCTGCTGAAGCAGCTCCTGTCAAAATCACTAGTGACATCCATATGGATAGATAACACTGGTTGCGTCCCATTTCTCATCTTACGTGACCTCTTAGCAGTTTTCCATAAAATTGGCCATACTCTTCTTGAAACATATTCTTCTGTTGGTTTCCATAACTATATGCCTTCTTGGTTTCTCTCCTACATTCTTGACTTTTACTCAGGCTTCTTTGCAGGCTACTTTGTCTTTCCTTAGCTCTTCTAAAGATTGAGTACCCACAGCTCTCACTTCCCTGTCCACATTCTTTGCCTAATTGATTTTATTTGTTCCTGTGATTTTAAATGCCATCCAGATCAAAAGAAAAGAAAAAACAAAAAGAGCCGGCCAAATAGCTCAGCAGATTAAAGCACCTGCAAGCAGGTACAGAGGCCTGGGTTTTATCCCCAGGCCTGCCATGCTGGCCTCACCCCCAAGGTACACTGAGGCTGAGATTGAGACGGGGCATGGTGGAGCAAACCTGTTATCCCAGCTTTTGGGAGGCTGTAAACAGGCAGATCACCATGAGTCCAATCTAGTGGTGAGACCCTGAACACCCTGTAGACCCTTCCCAAAAAAAAAAAAAAAAAGGATGACATGGAGGTGTATCTCAAGGGTAGATTACTTGCCTAGAATGTACAAGCCTTGGTTTTAATGCCCAGCACCACAAATAAACAAAAGTGAAAACAAATGTATTTCTCCAATCCAAACCTTTTCTCTGAGCTTCAAACTGTCCAGCTGCCCATCACTTCTAAGAAACATCTAAATCTCAAGTGGCCATCATAGAACTCTTAATTTGCCTGCCAAAACCTGATGTTCTTTTTGCTCTCTCCATTTCTGTACAAAGCACCAAAGTGTATCCAATTTCTCACAAAGAAAATCTAGAATTTATCCATGGTTCCCATTTTCTACTTTCAACAACCAGCCCAAGACTTGTTGATCCACAAGTTGAAATATATTTTGAGATAATGTATATAAATGTTTAATGTGATGCATAGATACTGAAGAAAGATGACAGCTATTACTGTCATCTATGTAATGTATAACAATTATGTAAATTTTAAACTTCCATAATAGCTAACTTTGCTTTGAAGTTTGTTTTTTTGTTTTGTTTTCTTTTTAGTACTAAGGGTTGAATCCAGGGCCTTCACACTGAGGTGTATCTCTAAACCTTTTTCATTTTTTATTTTGAGACAGTTTCAATAAGTCACTAAATTACTTAGACTGGGATCTTGCCTCAGCCTCCTACGGTGTTGGGACCATGGGTATGAGCCACTGTGCCCAAACTATAGTATTTTTTTTTTTACGTTGTATGAAGACATGGTTTTTCCTACAGCTTATAACACATTCCTGTGAATGCTGTAGGCTACTGCAAAATTTGCTGAGTCTTAAAAATATGACAGTTTCTGAGTGTTTTTGAAACAAAGTCATAAGATAGAAAACTTGTTTTTAACTTACAGGTGAAAGTACTTATGCTTACTGTATAGGGATCTTCTTAATATTGGAATGACTAAGAAATTAAAACTTCTGTGTGACTATTACATTAGCATCCTGGCTCTTTAATCGCTTAAATCTGTCTCAGTTTACCCAGTTTGTTTCCTGTTTCGAATACCCTATTGATTTTGTGTTTCTTAGATACCGAAGTCATTCTAATAGCTTCTTTTGTCCTCTTTTTTCAGATGTGAAGATTAAGTATGAAAATCATTTTCTTCACTGTAGATGAAAAGACTTCTGAAACTGTAAAATAAATACCACTAATACTATAATCCCCTAAAGAGCCATCATTGTAATTATTATATATTATGGTTTATATTTCATGGTATTTTTTTAATGGAATTGAACCATTAGGAACTCTCATCGTTAGTTGCTATCTAAAAATAAGGCTAAAATGGCCTTTTAATATATTCCTCTGTGCTGTGAATGGTGGTGCACACCTATAACCCCAGCACTCAGGAGGTTAAAGTAGAAGGATCACTTTGAGTTTGAGGCCTACAAAGTGAGTTCAAGGCCACCCTGAACTACATAGTGAAGCCTTGTCTCAAAAAAACAAGAAAAAATTTTTTGTTTTGTTTGACTTTGAGGCTTTGAAATATTGTCTAAATGAGCTTCCATCCATCAAAGCAGCTCCATCTCAAAAGATCTTTAAATGAAGAGCACTAGTCTAGTCTTTTTTTTTAAGTAAAAGAAAAATAAACAATAAAAACAATGGTATAAAATTTCAAAATAAGACTGTAGGAGAGTAACAATGGTTAGTGCATTGTGTATTGTTATCATCAAAGTATTGTTCATATTACAAGATACAGGCTTGAAAAAGTGATCAAACAATATAAGCATAACCTTTTCTTTTCAATGAACTAATAGCAATTAGTAGTATAACTACCTTAACTATCTGGTGTGCGTATTTAATTTTATTTTTCTTTTTCCTTTCCTTCTTTTCTCCTGTCCCCCGTTCCAGTTTCTCTTCCCTTTTGAGCAGCGTCTTTGTATTTCATGACATCATTGTACATTTTGCACCTTATTTACTCTTTCAGCTTTTCACACTAGGGAGACAATATGATATTTACACACGTGAGACTGATTTTTTTTCTTTTTTTTTTTTTTTTTTTTTGGCGGAACCAGGGGTTGAACTCAGGCCCTTGCACTATCCAGGCAAGCGCTTATCCTATTGAGCTATCTCCCCGGCCCTGAGACTGATTTATTTCACTTATGAGTATGGTCTGTAGATGCATCCATTTCCCTATAAAAGCCTTGAGTTTATCCTTCTTTACAGCTGAGTAATCCTCTATTATATAAAAATACTACATCTTTTTTATTCTTTGGTTGGTGGGCATTGGGTTGTTTCCAAGATTTAGCTATGACAAAGTGTGCTGCTATAAACATGGATGCACATATATCATTGTGATGTGATGTTTTTAATTCTTCTGAGGAAATACCCAAAAGGAGAATAGCTAGGTCAAATAGAACCTCTAATCCTAGCTTTTTGAGGAATCTCTGCACTGATTTCCACAGTAGTTGCACCAGTCTATACTCCCAACTACATTTAGGAGTTTTTGCCCATAACCGCTCCAGCATTTATTATTGGTTGATTTCTTGATGATAGCCATTCTCTGTAGGGTAAGATGGAATCTCAGTGTTTTAATTTGTATTTCTCAAATGATTAATGACATTGAACATTTTTTATATATTTATTTGCTATTTGTATTCATCTGAGAAGTATATATTCATCTCAGGTACCACTTTGGGATGGAGTCTGAATTTGCAGGGGGGTCTGATTTTTTTTCAGTTCTGTATATGTTCTAGATGTAAGTCCTTTGTCTAAAGGACAGCTGACTAAAATTTTTCCCACTCTGGGCTCTCTTTTCACTCTGTTGGTGATTTCTTTTGATGTTCAAAAACTTTTTAATCAGATGAGTTCCTAGATTTGATTCTTTGAAGTATTTCCCATGCAGTTTGGGTTTTGTTCATGACATCTCTGCCTATACCTACGTCTTCAAGACATAGGCCTACTTTCTTTTCCAGTAGATTTAGTTTTTCTTTTTTAATATTTAATATTTGGTCCATTTTGACTTTAATTTAGTGCATGGTGATAGATATGGGTCTAGTTTCAGTATTTGGCATGTGGAAAGCCAGTTTTCCTGGCACCACTTATTTAAGGCTATTTTTCTTCTAGTGAACATGTTTGGCTCCTTTTTCAAAGATAAGGCTGAGTGTGTTTGTAGTTGTTTCTCTGTCTTCTAATCTGTTCCACTGGTCCCTAGGCCTATTTTGTTGCCTGTACCATGCTGATTTTATCATAGTAATTTTGTAGCATAATTTCAATCAGGGATTATACCTTCTGCCTTGTGATTGTTGCCCAGGACTGCCTTTGCTATTCTAGGTCAATTTTGCTTCCAGATGAATTTTAGGAATGTTTTCTCTAGTCCTGTGAGGTATGTTAAAGGTATTTTACATGAATCCATTCTTATTGATAACTTGAATTGAAAAATTATATGGTACAGCCATATAGCCAACTTTGAAAAGAAGCTAGTTTCCTTGAAAAGGAGAGAGATATTGTCAAAGAAAAAATTTCCATTGATTATACAGAATGTTACTTTGTTATAGTAACAGAAAATTGAAGAAAGTGATAATTTTAAAGCGTCACAAATTGATCATCAGTTTCCAAATCCAAGTCCCAGGGGATGGGAAGATAGCTCGGCAGTTTAAGCACCTGCGTGGCAAGTGCAAAGATCCAGATTCAGTCCCTGGTACTACATGCTGTACTGTCCCTGCAGCCCTGGGCATGCCGTGCTGGCCACCAAAACTGGACATTGTGGTGCACACCTGTAATCTCAGCACTGGGGAAGCTGAGACAGGAGAATCACTAGGAGTCTGAGCTGCATAATGAGATCCTGCACCAAATGGATGGATGGATGGATGGATGGATGGATGGATGGATGGAAATCTTAGCAATGTTTTGTTTTTTTTTATTGACATCAGTTATTTTTATTTTAAAGAAAGAAAAAA